GATCATGACCTGAGCCCAAATCAAGGGTCAGATGCTCAACCAACTGAGACACCCAGGCACCCCAGTATATTTCTGACTTACAACCAAAGCTTTGAAATGAAGAAAGGTTTTATGAAATGGAAATAGACCCACATCAACTCTAGGGAGAATCTCAAGGATTGCTCCTTGGAAAAGTTTTAAAACAGGAAATTTTATTTCCAGGATGACACTGTATTTCCTTGAATACCTAATTATTACCAGGAAGGAATGCATATCCATGCCATCCAAGGGCTCTCATTCTTTTGGAAATGTTTCACCATCTCTCCATCCCCCACCTACTCCCTCCCTACCTCTACTCCCAACACACAGACACATAGACAAACAGACAGACACACACACACACACACACACACACACTCATCAAATTGGGAGAATTTCCTGAAGCATACAGATAATGGCATTTATTTTGGCAAGAATTCTGCAATTTGTCAAAAGAAAGATAAAGTATGGCATTTATGAGCAATTGTAATTATAGTATTTCTCAACAGATGCAGGAAGTAGATTTTTCTTCATAGTTGAAATATGGCTTCATGGTTTTCTGCATCTGGGTCTTGCAACTTTTCATCTAGAAACCAGACTAGATCAGTTATTTGTGGAAAGAGATGATAACTTATGACTGTATTTTTTAAAAAGTCACCATTGCTAGGTTCTTCTTTTGAGACACTAAATAGACAAGGGAGTTACTAAAAATGCAGGGGAATTGAAAAGAGCAATTCCTACTAAGAACATAACTTGGCCTTATGAATTGCCTCTCTGGCAAATTAACTGTGGCAAGAAAAGACACTGTCTTTTAAATGAAAAGTAATTAATGACCTTCATCAGGTGGATACAAATGTCTCCAGAGATCCTATAACCCAGTGGAGTGCAGGTGAGATACATGCCCTCTGTATATACAGTGTGCAACTACCACCAGGACCACCTGAGTGCCCATTTCTTGCCTCAGCACCAGAGCACCAAAAGCAAAGAGTCCAGGTACAAGCAAATAACACTGTTTTACCTATTAATTAGAATGGGGAACTCAAAGAAGGAAAAGGTACAAAAAAGGCGCTTTTGAATTTCCTGGTTGATCCCTACAGGGACATGAAAACACACGATTAAGTAAACAGGATGATTTCAGGGTTTTTTTGTTGTTGTTTATTTATTTATTTTGAAAGAGAGAGAGAGAGAGAGAACGGCTGGGGAGGGACAGAAAGAGGGAGAGAGGGAGAAAAAATCTCAAGCAGGCTCCATGCCGTCGGCGTGGTGCCCAGTGCGGGGCTCAATCGCATGACCCTGGGATCACGACCTGAGCCAAAACGAAGAGTCAGATGCTTAACCGACTGAACTACCCCAGGTGCCTCTGATTTCAGTTTTTATACAAAGATATCAACTACCTTCCTGGGACTTAATGAGCATATATAAATATTAAACATTTAGAAATTCAGAGCTGGTCCCTGGGGGACCTCACACCATCATCTTGGTATAAATCTTTAGTAATTGGTGGTATCTTTTGAACCATTCATGACAATCATGGGCCATCAGGAGGGGTCTGCAGTGGCTTTGGTGTGCTCAGTAATATCAGAGAATAGGCTGGGATGAAGAAAAAAAGGAAGAGGGAGAAAAAAGGAATAAGAGAGGAGAGAAGAAGGATAAGAAAAATGGGCTGATGGATAGCAGTGGTGGAAAGTGACAAAGACTGAGAAGAACACCAGGAGCCACCAAAAACATCTTCTTGTGTTCCTGGTGCTGGCAGCTTCCCTTTTGTCTACAGAGCACATGCCCTGGATCATTGTTGAGGCTGTCACATAGAGATAAGAACAGAAGCTACTTCAAAGCACAAAGGTGACATTGGCCATATCCCCCTGTTTACATAGTACTGTCAGTGTATCAAAGGAAGAATTAAATGGGCATAATTTCTTAGAGTAGGACCAGTAGGAATCCAGTGCTGTTGATGGTCTTGGGTCTGGAGGACATTGGCTCTATATCAGCCCACACGACTGGTCATCATTTGACCTTCCTGTCTCTAATTTGGTCACATCAGTTGCTCTGGATCTGTCCATATGGCTTTGACAGAAGATTCACCTGTAGTGAGTAAGTGGTGTGGTCAAGGGCATCCATGATGTTATTCTGACACCCAGAGACAGAAGAAGAGGGTAGAATGGAAGATACAGGCTGTTGCGGGGGCGGGGGATGGGGGGGGGATGGCAAAAATGGGGAGGCAGAAAAGGCCCTAATAAGAATGGGCAAAGCCCCAGTGGGTAGAGGGTGACTTTGAGTTGGAATAGAAGACTTGAAGGGAGAGAAACAGGAACAGTAAGCCTCCATTCTTCAAGGCAGCCATTGTCCCAATCTGTCAAAGTCTGGGATGTTCAAATTCTACTCTGAGTTTCTCTTTCCTATTTCAATTACCCATTTTGTGAATGGTGGATCGACGTATGATTCCTTAAAAGAAGTAATCTACCGTGGAGTTAAAAAAAAAAAATCCAGTACTAGATAATGGTAATCACACAAATCACTTGACAGTAATCTGGGGTTTGTGTCTTCCATGAGGGCATCCGCCCAGGAGCTCATAGCACCTGCTACTTTCAGAATCTTCATGGAGAGCAGTCTGCCGCCAAAGCTGTTGTTGGTCAGCAAATCCAACGTTGAACTTAGCTGTGCACAATCTGTGTAAGTATGAGTAGGCTACTTAGGTGCTTTTCTCAACACTCTTTTCCTAATCCCAAACTCAGAGGGGTATATACAGAAAGGAAAGCAAAATGTATTTTATAAAAGAACACACTGAGGGGTAAGTGCTTGTTATCTTTTGATTGATTGGTGTTTGCTTTGCCACAGATCATTGGAGTTGGGATCCTGGTATATATGATTATCGCTCAGCTTCCTTCAGTTTTTTACTTTGTTTTTTGTTTGTTTGGGTTTAAGTAATCCCTATGCCCAACGTGGGGCTCAAATTTATAACCCCAAAATCAAGAGTTGCATGCTCTATCAACTGAGTCAGCCAGGTTTTTAAAAACCCATGGTTTTTACTTTCTTTCTCTTCCTTCCTTTCCTTAGAGAGCGCAAGCCTGCTAAAATCAAGAGTCAGATGCTCAACCAACTGAGCCACCCAGGCACCCCTTTTTGCTCTTTGAAACACGTTTAAGATTCAAATTCTTTTTCAGCAGTGGGAGCAGTGCTATCTACACTGCAGTTGCCTGTGAACATTTTGTGCAAGGAAGAAAAGCATTGGCTTAGCTTCCAAATGGTGCTCTGATCTTTTAAAAGCCTGATCCAAGGAACTTCGGGATTCTTACTCTATCAAGTCTCAGGTTCCAGTGCCACCTGGGACTGTCTCTCTCCCAGCCTTTCCCCACCTCAGCTTCACACTGACTCGAGTGCACTCTCTGACCCCTACGAGGCTGGTTAATCCCTGGGGTGCTTTTATCCAGGATACTCCCTCAGGATTCAGCTCAGGTATCCCCTCCCCACGGGTGAGCTTGCTCACCCAAAAGACACCGTTGCTTTCCCAACGCAAGGAATGTCTTGCCTTCCAGCACGTGGCAGTGTCTAGCCCAGGTGATCTGGACACATTGCGCTGAGAAACAAGACCACGCTAATGACCATGAATTTGAGGCTGGGACTGTGACTCGTTACTGCCATTCCCATCTGATCAGTGAGAACATAGTGCCTGTTCGCCGCTGCGCACCGTACCACCACCTACCTAGCTCCGAGGCATTTTTACCCCGTCATTTTGACGTCAGGACAATGCCATTCAAGTTTGTAAACACATTTTAGTCCCAACATTCTAATCAGAATATGCCAGCACTGGTAAATTCTCCCTAAGAGGAGGGGAGACGGCAAGGTAGGAGCATGTAGATGGTGAAGCCAACCTGTTAGACCACCTTTCCCCCCTCATCCCAGACCTGCCTCCACCATAAGGCTGTAGCAGGAGCTAGAGGGAGGGTCTGTTTTGCTAAGGAAATACATTTATTCTGCACACTGAAACTGGCAGGACTCGAACGGGTGCCCGGTGAGGAAAAGACCAGACTTTGTAGGGTTGGCAACAGCAAGGAGGGGGCAGAGGCAGGGAGCAGGGGTTATGCCCAGTGTGGAGGAGGTCCTTGGGCAAAGGAGAGGTGCTGACAACCTCACGAGGACCGCCTCGGGTCTGTCAAGCACGAGCACCCGGTGTGCTGACAGCCTCCATGGCACAACCGCGTGGAGGGAGGGGGTCACGCCTGCCCTTTAGGCCTGGCTCCTCTGGGTGCACGGGCGGCTCTTGCACATCCATGACCCACGGCTACATTAGACTTCGCTCAACAAATATTCCTACTGTGCCCAGGGCCTGCTCCCCTGGGACGACCATTGGCCACTGCCGTGTTCCACCGACAAGGGTCAACCGCGGCCCACCGGCTCCATGCTGTGATGCCCAAGAACATTGTTCCCAGCCCTCATAATCCATTTTGCATATCCGTTATTGGTTCCACGCTCCCTTGAGACACTGAGAGCAAAGCTGGAGGGTGTGGGTACAAGATCTGAGCGCACAGAGGGGCATACATTCGTTAATGCCAACACTTCTAGATGTGGGTTCAGGGGGTAGCATGTGTCCATGATGGTCAGCAAGTAGGCAAGAGAAAAGCTTAATAAGGGAAAGAGATCAAGCCTCTATGGTAGCAACCTTGACCTTTAGTTGTGCTAAGAGCACAACTGCTTGAATTAAACATAGGACGCTATTCAAGTCTTTGGAATTTCAGCATCCCGTCACACACTTGGGTGACATACGTCAACTTTCTTTAAGCCCGCCTTTAGAATATTTTTAGTCTGGTCTTAAAGTACACTGACGTGAGCCCTATGTTATATGGGTAATAACCTGATATCAGTGTTTTTTTAAGAATTAGGAACCTTTGTGCGCATAGTGTGCCCTGAGTATGGAGAAGCGAGAGGCGGGTAGAGAACTTGTTTCCTCTGCTGGCAGAAAAGGGCCAAGAGACACAGGCCACAACCACAGGCAAAAAGAGAAACTGGTTATTAAATTTAATTTTCTTTAAATACATACCTTTCTCCCACCCTCACCTATTCTGCGGGGGGAAGAGGAGAGAGGAAACCCCACCCCCTCCATTCAGGGGATTCCATGTATAAAGCCTGAGATGGTGAGGATGAAGTATAAAAATACTATTTACAAAGGGGAAGAAGGTATCTGTTGCCACCTTAACCTTCAGACACCCCCATCCCCAGGCCCCTTTTGCTCCTTTAGAAAAAGCCCCTGGGAATTCATTTGAGTGTAAAATAAGCCCTTCCTCTGGAGGGGTACTATAACCCCAAAATGGAATAGGATGCTCTGAGATCAGCTGAGGAAGACAGTGAATGGATAGCACCTCAGATCCTAGCAGAGGGAAGGCATCCGCCCCCCATTACCCTGTGGTCAGCAGGCCTACAGGCCAAGCCTTTATTTCCATAGGCCCCATGTAAACATTGACTTTCCTTTTTCCGTGTCCCTGTTCTTCCTGATTTCCTACAGAGCCTCCCTCGCTTGCACTGGAGGCACTTGGTTCCTTGATGGTTCCTTCCTCCCCTTCTCCCCTTCCTGTGGAAGAAGCGAAGAGGGGAGGCAGGTTACAGGTGGGGCAGGGCCCATCTCCTCCCTTCTTCTAGGTCAGGGCAGCCAGTCCTCCTAAGGGGTGAGCTCCAAGTTCTCGGCCAGATAGGGGTGGATTGCCTTCCCCAGCTTCCCCCACAGGGACAGGCAGGTAGACAGTCCGGTACCAGGATACAGCGTTCTTGATGGGTGACAACGCCAGTGCTGAGTAGCAGGTGCTGAGTAGCTGAAGAAGGCTTCAGGAGGCAGAAAGGTGGGGCGACTCAGGCCTCCCCCTGATGGTGGGAGCCCAGCCCTGCATTACTGCCCCTTCAGGTAAGCACGTCAGTCACCACCCACCAGTCTTGTTCACCCGTAGCTGTGCGGAGGGGCCAGGCACCCATGAGGCAAGCGGTCTTCTCCAGGCCTTGGTGTAGAGGCAGCATTCACACCAGCTCGTCCAATAGGATTCCAATGCTCTGAGTGGCCTCTGAGGGCCCAGCAATGGGCTTGTTACACATAGGGCAGACACAGCGTACTTCTAGCCACTTCACCAGACACCTGTGGGCGGAAGAAGACCAGTTTTCCCCTAAGACACCCAGCCCGTTCCACGTGTCTCTCACTCAGAGAGCCCAGCTGCTTCTCCGAACAGCAACACCTCCATCCTTGCCCCGGTCCAACCCCTCCGGCTTGCCTGGTGTCCAGACAGGATGTCAGGCATCGCTGGCAAGGGGCAGATGGGAGGGGGTAGGGATTACAGGTTCTCGAAGACGCTCCCTACTTATTCCTTTCGAAAGGTATCCCCTGGACACACGTCCCCCACGGTGGATACTTACTTCCGGTGAAAGGCATGTTGGCATGGGAGCACACCTAGCTCGTCCTTCCCCTTGAAGTCTTCCAGACAGACTGCACAGGTCTGCTGTGGGAAGAAAGGGAAGATGTGAGAGGAGACTGGGGAAGAACCGCATTCACCCATCGGCTCATCCCCATCCAAGAAAACAAAGCTCTAGCCCAGTTTCCTGATTAGCCACGGAAACTTGAGTCATAGGGTAGCCACTAACCACACCAGACTGTTCACAAGACCAAAGGAAGATGAAATTAAAGGTTTAGTTCCTCCATTGCACTAGGTACATTTCAGCGGCTCGGTAACCACAATGTGGCCATGGTGGCTCCCATACTGGACAGGGCAGATACAGAACATTTCTATCATCACAGAAATTTCCATTGACCGTAAGTGTTCTAGAGGAGTATTTTTTAAACGTTTCTAGCCTAGTACATTTTGCAAGGAGGCATGCATCTATATCTAAAGGTAAAAATGGGGGTATAATGTTCAGTTCATATTCTTGGACTCTAGCTTTCTGTAATTCTGGACTAACTTCTTGATCACAGCTGAATTCTCCCTCTCAAGGAGGGCTCAGGGAACACTGAATTTGCTGAGATGTGATAGCACACATCCAAGAGGGATAAAATGAAGCATTCCTAGGCTGTCTCATGCCTCGCGATCCCCGTGGGTCCGCCCAGTGCCCAACCACCACAAACACCCTGTGCACAAGTGTCTGTGGTTATGGACAGAAGTCTTGAGAAAGTTAGATGATCTCATGGGCACAAGTAGGGAAGGAAGAGGCAACTGCCCACTCCTAAAAAGTCTGTGTTGATGGGACCCAAGGAGTGGCAGTATTGCTTGGGGGAGGGGACTGGAGAGCAAGCAGGCGAGAATGGCAGGGCTAGATGCACTGGTCAGGTCCCCAGTCTGCCAGGACAGAGTATATGTGTAAGGGTAAAAAGGGCCTTCTTTAGTGAAAAACCAAGACGGGAGACCTAGAAGCAGGGAAGGGTAGCTGGGATCTGGCGTGGAGAGGTAGACCCATCCTCCCCTTAAACATGATGCACAGCAGCCTTTCCGGGGCCACGTGTCCTCGCTCATTCCAACCCTTCCGCGATCCCGTTATGTTTTCTGCCTGCGCCGGTTCCAGACATAATGAATTCCATACACGGATTACCTACTGGAATGAGTCACATTTATTTGGCCCAAGGAGATAAGTTCCTGAAAGGCCCTGGCTGAGAGCTGGAGAGGGTGCTGTCTGCCTTGCCAGCCAGGGCCCTCCTGCACCCTGGCCGAGGACACTTACCCCATATAACTGCAACTTCTTGGCATCACCTTTAAGCACCACCTGAAAAGGAGAGAGGAGGCATGGCGTCAGAAGCCAAGCACAGGGGCCAGGTGCTATCATCCAGCCAAGGGAGTCCCCAGCCCCGCACAGGCGTGTCTTCCTCTTCCTCTGGTGAAGGGGGAGGGCTTGGCCACTGCCTGGGCCGGGCCAGGCCAGACTCGAGGACGGTACAAAGCACTGGCCAGGGGGAGCCAGCAGGGAGGCCGAGGGGGTTCAGCTTGCTTGCTGCCTATCCTCTCTCTAGCAGGGCAGGTAGCAGAGAGGAAGTCTCACAGGAAGATGTAGCACTTGGGGCGCCTGGGTGGCTCAGTCGGTTAAGTGTCTGACTTCATCTCACGTCATAATCTCACGGTCCGTGGGTTCAAGCCCCGTGTCGGGCTCTATGCTGACAGCTGGGAGCCTGGAGCCTGGAGCCTGCTTCGGATTGTGTCTCCCTCCCCCACTCATCCTCTGTCTCTGTCTCTCAAAAATAAACATTGAAAAAATTGTTTTTAAAAGAAAGAAAGATGTAGCACTCTACCTCTTTATAGCCGTATCGCTCACTCTGTGCCTGGTTCCGGAGTTTGCTAGGGGAGAGCGAAAGGAGAGGTTACCATGCCTTTGTACAAATTAGAGCCATTCAGAGTGAGAGAGGCAGGCAGGCTGCGTGGGCCCTCTTCTGGGGGCGGAGAGGCTGCTCCTCAGAGGGGCGTCTTGTCCCGGAGAAGCCATGGAGTATGGTGTGGTTGGACCTGTGCAGGTCGCCCAGAGTTGATTAGGGACTCAGACTCTTACTCAGCCACAACAGCCTCAAAGCTTTACCGTCAGGTCCCACAGATCGGAGAATTCTGGCAGAGCACATTCTGGCAGAATTATTCATTCGTACTCCCTGCTGTTTCCCAGAAAGTCAGTCTCCTCAGGCCCCCCAAGTCGAGAGGTCAACACTCCGCTTCCTGAGTATACAGAAGTTAGATATTCTTACAAGGGATCTTGCCATTAAGCCAGGGTAGCAGTGTAAGTGAGCCTCTGTTGACTCTGGGGAACTTTCCACCCAGGGGAACACTAATATTCTGAACCAAAGCACACTCTCCCCTTCACGGCACCCAGGCAAACACCGAGGATGCCCTCTTTGTTTTCTTCTCTTCGGTTTCCAGCTGGTGGCCTGCACACAACCTCACTCAATAGCCAAAACCCAGTGAGTTGTTACTAACGGCAAACTAACTTCCAAAGAAGTAACTCGCCCAAACCTCCCGGCTAGTCAGCAACAAGAGGCGGATTTGAATCAGTCTATCAGAGCATAGGGCCTGAGCGCTTTAACAGTGTGGCCTGTTTTCGCCCATTAGGTGGGACACACCATCGTCCTGAGAAGGAGACCAGATCCCTTGGGAAACACCCGATCTTCATCAACAAGCCTACAGCGAACGGCTAGGATCACGATTACGCAGTATTGCTGCTTCTTTATTTGCAGGGAGAGAAACCGTCCAAATCAAGCAGGTGGCTCTGTGTCCTCCTATACTTGGGAGCCACATGGGGCCTTCTCTCCACTGAACACTTCTGCCAGATCTGCGTTATTGGAAGGAAACGTTAGAAACCCGTCAAGTTAGAATAGATGTGGTGGATGATGGCCTAAGGGCCACTTGTTCAATAGAGCCTATGAGCTAAGACTGATTTTTATTCTTAACTTTTAAAATGTTTATTTTTGAGAGAGAGAGAGAGAGAGAGAGAGAGCGCATGTGTGCACATGATAATAAATTAAACATTACATATTATCTGTGGCGGCTTTTGCACAGTAGGGTGGGGGTAATTAAGAAAGAGACTGTGTGACTTCCGAAGCCCCAAATGTTTGTCCTTTTGCAGAACAAGAAGGCTGACAGGAGTCAGAGGAAGAGAATCTCAAATCAGGAGCCTCAACGAGAAGGTAAGAAGGTGCCTGCGCCACAGGCACCGTGGAGAAGCTGACTAGAACAGCGGAAGGTGCGGAATGAGGGGCAGAGCAGAGCCATGCCCCAAGCACAGTCGGGGGGCAGATCTGGATCTGGCTCCCAGCTATCTCCACTGTTCCTAGCACAAGTCAGGGCCCTGGGAGGCCGGGTGCCTGGAGACTCTTAAGAACTCCAGTCCAGGGGCACCTGGCTGGCTCAGTGGTGGAGCATGTGACTCTTGATCTCAGGATTGGGAGTTTGAGCCCCATGTTGGATGTAGAGAGGACTTGAAAAAAATCTTAAGGGGCCTCTGGGTGGCTCAGTCCGTTAAGCGTCTGACTCTTGGTTTCAGCTCAGGTCATGATCACGGTTTGGTTAGTTTGAGCCCCTCATTGGGCTCTGTGCTGACAGTGTGGAGCCTGCCTGGGATTCTCTCTCTCCCTCTCTCTCTCTGCCCCTCCCCTGCTCATGCTGTCTCTGTCTTCCTCAAAATAAATAAACTTAAAAAATAAAAAATAAAATCTTAAAAAAGAACTCCAGTCCAGGTTGACTCCTGCACCATAGGGCTAAGTCCCAGGGCAGCACATCCACTGGAGGGTCTCCGGTCATTGGAGGGTTGGGCCAAAGACCTAGCCAGGACTCCCACTGTTCCGTCCTTTACTCAGAGAACGCCTCAGTCCGGGAAAGCTTTTCAGATGCATGCATCTCTGTGCCCGCTTCCAAACAAGACGGGCGGGGCAGGGTGCATGCAAGGCTTCAACGAACAACTGTCACCTGGCTGACACCGAATGAAGCTGGGGAAGCAAAAAAGTGTTCTCACAGTCAAAGCGCTCACAGCCGCATTCTCAGGCAGTCACCGTCGCTGTCGCGGGGATGCCGAAGAGTAAATAAGGAAGTGGTGAGGGGCCTGCTTTTTAACCCCGAGAATGAGAGGATGCCACACATCCTTGGGGTCTCAACCACCTCACCTGCAACACGGCTCTACGCAGGTAGGGTGTGCCGTGCCTTTCTGCTCACTGTGTCCTGGGATGCGCAGGGCGCCCCCTGCCCACCCTCACCCCCTGTGTCTGTCTGGTTCCATTTGATGGTCGCAGTCAAGGATCCTCCAGCAGCCTGGGTCTCAGAGCCCAGTACCACCAGAAGAGTGAAAGGCTGCAGACCCACCCCCTTCGCCCTGCATGCAGACTTTCCAGAACAGGAAGGTATACATTGTGATGAGACCCAAAAAGGTCGCAAGGGAAACAAAGCAGAAAAGCAAAGCCCCTGGGACATCCCAGCAGAGGAGGTAGTGCCGGCTACTTTGGACAGGTGGCCCTCTCAGCTGTTGGGTGAGCTAAGCTACTAAAAATACTCCGATTTCAATGAGACCATTTCTAGCCACTGCCAGCGGGCTCTCCCTCACTGCTTTTCCCTTTTGGAGCAAACAATGCCACCAGGTCCTGAAAATAATTGCTCCTTTCCTGCTTATTTGTACTTCACTGGCCCCTCCATCCTGTGTAGGGCAGAGGTCAGCTCCTGGGGAACAGGGAAGAACGGGTGAGGGGAGCAGGGGAGAGGAGGCTGGTGTTGGCCACTGAGCTCACCAGGTGGAGAGTAGGGGTCATGGGCCTATTTTGGCTATGGAGGAAACTGAGAAGCGGGGAGAGGAAGTGGCTTCTGTGCCTGTGTGTCTTTCTATATATAGACACCCACAGGCTGCCACACAGCAGCGAGCCTCTGGAACCATGAAAGTCTGGGGTCAGCTGACTCTGGGCAGGCTGCAGGACAGAAGGTGGGGGTGACAGAAGGGGCAGATTACTGCGGAAGGGACAGGTGGCGCCAAGCGGCCCGCAGTCAGGAAAGCTTTTGGTATCGTGTGGTTACGGCTCTGTTCTTCCACTCCAGCCAGACAAAAATAAATCAGCCCTATCTAGCTCCCCAGCCTGTCCTTCTGCAGGACCCCCATCTCCGGCCGTATGGGGGTGCTAAGGGATGCTGCAGCTGTTCCTTTTATTTCCATTCAAGGAATGGGAACCCGACAGGGAAGGTGAACATATGGAATCTGAAAGACTCTAGCTAATGACCACTGGGCTAGCCCACCCCTGGATCTTCCTCGATATAGGACCTTGGGCAAATTCTTAACTGCCAGAGCATGAATTTCCTCATTTACAACGTGGGCTAATATAGAAACTGGAGGGGTGTTTCACAAAATGCCAACTATAGTGTGGCAAAAGAAGGCATTTGGTAAAGAAGAACTAAAACCCAAGGTCACACGTATTAGTGGCAGAGTTAGGAAATGAACCCTGGTCACCCACATCCTGGCCCAGAGTGATTTTCTAGATTTTTCTTCACTTGACTGCCTTTGCAGCTTGTGTGTGTGTGTGTGTGTGTGTGTGTGTGTGTGTACACCAGAGCTGCTTTTGCAGACCCCTCCCCCAGTATCATATATAAACCTTTGGTATTTGGTGTGTCTCCATCTTTAGTCCCTGGGGAACTGCATGAATTGCTCGGTATGGGGAGATGGGGGTGGCTGGTGGTCAGGAAGGCAGAATGTTTGAGGAAGAAAACGTAGGCTTGGGGAAAGGGGAAGGGGTGGGGAGATGCTAGAAAACTGCCCTCACTCCCACTTATGCAAATGTTGGGCTCGGTTGTACAAGAGGGAAAAAACACCACGATCTTCTCTGCATCAACTTTTAAGTGGAAAACTCCAGTCCCAGGAACTTTTTTAAAGTTCTGAGAAAGAAGAGGCCTAAAGTAGCTGACTGGGGGCACTGAGGGCCCTTCCCCTTTTTTAGAGGAAACTCTTGCTAGCCTTAGGAATAGAGACTGAGTGTCTGCCTCCCCCTTGCCCCTTCTCGGGGCAAAGCATTCAGACCCACCAAGACATCTCAGGAGGAAGCCAGAACTCCTCTGTCCCTCCTTTTAATTTAAACGATTTAAGACTCCAGCTGCTGGCTACCTAGGCATTTCGTAAGGTGTGGTGGGGGTAGGGGGTGGTTATCACAATGGCCCTAAAGACCATTAGCATGTTCAGGGATGCTCAACATTCCCCAGTGTGCAGGACAGTCCCATACAATGAGGAACTGGTGATCCCAACAGCATGCCCTTGCCAGAAACACTACTTTCATTTCCACTCTAAATGCCAGTCATGCCCTAAATTTTTGATAGAAAACGAGCCACCAATTCCCATGTCTTTCAACGGGAGGTGAAGAAACACCTCCCTGGCTAGCCCCGCCATGCTCAAGTCCTCCCCTGGATCTCCACGCAGGAAGAATAAGGGGCGTTTTAGGATAGTTTTTCTCACTATCAAAAAAAGAAGAGCTTACGAGGCAGACCAAGCAGCTCTCCAGACATCAGCTTGCTAATATTAGCATCTGGATGGCTGACGGCAGGATTTCCCAGGAGGGCAGAGGAACATGCCGTTGGTGTAACCGATGCCCACCTATCCCCGGCCACCCAGAGGTTATGCGTGGGGAGTGGAGACACGGTTAAGGGATGACCAATGATATCACTTGGTCAGATAGTAATTCTAGGCCACCCTAGAATAACTGGCCAAGAGATGCGATGTAGCCCAACCAATGGTGACCTTATATGCTCTGGGACAACTCCAGAGGCTGCTGAAAATAGAAACACCAGGCCTCAGGGGCCCAAGGAAGGACAGGCTGAGCCCTGTCCTCAAAGCAGGGGCCCCAGTGGGAAGTTAGGGCCTGCTGTGCGAATCTCACTTGGCCCACCCTACTCCCCGGCCTCCTCGTCCTGGACTCCCTGCCCCAGGTCACCCAGGGTGCCACCCACCTGATAAAATAGCAGCAGAAGATGAGACTGAGCATGAAGACGAAGATGCCTGTGCCAAAGATGACCATGTAGATGTTGAGGGGAAGGTCTTGGAAACTGATGGGTGGCATTGAGCAGGACTTGTTGGTGCTAACCAGTCCCAGGCCACAAAAACACCCTGAAAAGAAAGGGAGAGGGAAAGCATTATAGTTGGAAATTGACCACTGGGGCTGATGGTACTCAGGTCAGGCAGGACGGAGAGACAAATGGCAGGCTCTGGGGTCCTAAACCTCTCTGATGCCGACACTTAAGTTTATAACCCAGCTCTGATACTGACTAGCTACATTATCTTGGGTCACTCAGCGATCCGTGAAATGGGATACTACACACAGTACTTAAAACTGCATCCCCATCCAGGGGATCAAGGATTCAGCAAATGGGAAACTCGACTCCATTGCGTAGAAGCTCATTTAGTGCAGTAGCAGAATGAAGAGACGTAGGTGAGAAAATGGGTACTTGGGTTCCAACACTGCCTCTCCCTAGAGAGGTGACCTTTAAAAACTTACTTATCTAAGCTTCACTTTGTCATTTAAAAACAAGCAAAATGCAGAGAGGACCCAAACTGGTGTGAGACATGTACTTTGCAAATTGCCGAGGTGCAGTTGCAAAGGTCATCTGTCATTATTAAGCCACCTGCTCCAGGAGACAGGCTGCACCAGGACCAGAATAGAAACTGTTCACCCTGAGGCTGGGCCAGTGTTCCAGAAAGAGATTGGGGGGGGGGGGGGGTGGTGTGCAGCTTACTTTGGGCACCCTTCCCTTTCCTACTCAAAGCAGTGCCATAGTAGTACTGGCAACCCCTGGAGCTTGTTAGAAATGCAAAATCTCCGGCCCACCCTGGACAGAATGAATCAGAATCTACATTTTAACAAGGTCCTCATCAGATTCCCATACCTGCAGCGGGGGAAGCACTGACCAGCCACCAGATGCTTCCCCTTCTCACGTGACTCAGAGGGTAAATCCTGATTGGCTGACCAAGCATCCTCAGAGGGTAAATCCTGATTGGCTTATCAATCATCGTTGTCACCTGCCTCTTGCCAGAGTTTGGTGTTGAGGTAAGTATGTGACAGGGTTCTGGCCAAGGAAACAAAGTCAAGTTCTGCCGGAGCAGGAAAGATTGGAATGGTGGCAGCCAAGTTAGAGCTGGAAAGAAAGCAGTTCAATATAAAGCCAATGGCCGAGGGTGGCGGAAGGGAGAGGGAAAGAAATGATTTATGTCCGTGAAATTGCTGGATTAACCAGTCCTGGGGCCACTCTCTATTTTGGGAGTACTCGTTCTGAGAATTAGTAAATGTTCTGTACTGTTTAACAGTAAGAAACAAATATAGGATAGAAACAATAAGCTGGTGGAGTGTTTAGTCCTGCAACCAAGACAAAATATTATCGTGATCCAAAAGGCAAGAATAAAATTCTTAGATTTCAGAAAGTGAGGAGACGAGAAAACTAGAATCTTGCAATACCCCAAGCACCTTCTCACGCTACCAATTTAATCTTTGTAATGCCACTGAGAAATTTACTTACCCCTTCTACAGGAAAAAAAAAAAAAAAAAAAAAAAAGACTCAATCATTAAATAAATTGTCTAACGTCAAACAGCTAAGAAGGCTTGTTTCCAAAGACCTCTGTACCCAAGTCTTCAACATGGGTTTTAAGTACCTGCCTGACAGCTTGGTTAGAAGCCAGGACCCATTAATATACTTGAGAATTCTAGATTAAAATTACCAGTACTACAATTCAGCAGAAGACTGGCTGAAAGGACCGGAAGTCGATTTTGACATCCTACATCTCCTCAGTCATCTCCTAGATCAATCTAGTGACCATATAATGAGCCTCCCTTCAAACCTCTTTCAGATGTCGGGACCAGTTCTATTCCAAGTCCCCACTCCAGACCCTCACTGATGTCAAGTCCTTCCTCTACTTTAGCCCATGTGTGTGACATATCCTCCCACTCAGTTTCCATTATGTATTTCCCAGGCTCATGACTGGTTTTAAGTCCTGCTAAACATGCACGCACTGGGTCGCCTCAACCTCCACTGCTCATAGTTTTCCAGCATCCCCCAACATAGACCAGTCTCCTATTTCTTGTCCAACCTGTCCTCACCTGCCTCCATACCTTTGTTCATGCAACTTTCCCTGCCTGAAACTCCCCCTCCCTTCTGGACGCCCACCAAGCCTGGTCCTCATGATATTCCAGTGACCCCTCTCTTCCCTGAATTCTACAGTACTCACAGCCTCTACCACACATTCTGGCTCTTGAATACTTAGTATTGTGTTATGTTGCCCAAATAGTCCAAGCATCAACTTAACTCGAACATCGATTATATGACAAGTACCATGATAGACACGTAAGATAAAAAAAATTAAAAAAGGAATCACGGGGTGATTTTACAGTGTAGGGATGAAGAGAACACAAAGGCTTCTGCCATACAAAGGGAGGCACGGCAATAGAGATAGAACTAGAATACTGGAATCAGAAATGAAAAAGTCCTAATAAGCTCGAATACTCCCAAGTCTCAGGACAGCAACTTGGACTTTTGTAGCTCCTCCAGTGCCTAGCCTGGTGTTTGGCTTGCTTTCACTTAATTAGTTAGCAGATAAGTAACTCCTGATTCTTCAAGACAACCTGGTACCCTTGGCAAAAGCTCCCATCCCAAAGTAAGGAGAGTGATATTTGGGAAAGTTGCCCAGAAACTGCCCTCAGCTAATGAATGGCCAGCCAACCAACAAGTATTAATCGAGGGCTGATTTATGCACTGACCTAGACATTGTGGGAAAACAAAAAGGAGAAGTAGTTCTTGTCCTGAAAGACTCTGTTGAAAAGATTAAATAATTAGCTCCTACCCTTATTATTCTCAACAAGAAGCCCTTGCTTCTGGGCTCCCTACCTCACTAACAACTGATGCACTAAGAAGGTCTAACCTCTGATCTGTCTTCGCTCTCCATGCACCTTTTAGGAGATGAATCCTGGTTACCTTTAGGGTCCCAGAGAACCCCATTTGGTTTCCTGTCCTGGGAAATTGTAGAGCACTGGCTATTATAGAGGATATGTATCTGCACTCTGGTCTCAAGTGGTCCTCTGATCAGTTTACCTTGACCATCTTACCTCTCCTAACAGACTTTCCCTGGGCTTCCAGGATGGAGTCAGTGAGCTTGGAACTTTATGTGAGAAAGAGTTGTAGGTGAGAAACACTTGTAAGGGCAGAATACCAACCCCAGAAAAGAGAGCCTCCAGATATTTTTCCACAAAGGGGCTGGGGGAAGGGATTGCTTCCTCACTGGAGTCAAAACAATCTATCAGCCACTTTAAGAAGTGAAAAGAAAAAGAGCAAGTCTTCTGCTGGTCTAAAAACCCGATACGAAAATAGGAGCGCCAGAATAAAGTGCCAGCCACCTTGGTTCTTGCGAAGTCTCTGTTCCATTGTCTCAGCTGACCTATGAAAGCCCTGACATCAGAATGTCTCATCTCGGTGGTGTGCAGGCTGGGAGTTGGAATGACGTCAAGAGAAGGCTGGCCAAGGAAGATCGGTGGGTCTGGGAAATGCTTCCCCCTCCCAGCCGCCGGGAATCTTTCCCAGATGCCGGGATGCACCGTCCTTCCCCACCCCCCTGTCCCTCAATGCCCGCCTATCACACACAGCTTGGTTCATTTTCAGGAAATTAGATCCTACCAGCAAGAGGAAGAGGGGGTTGGGGGACGCTCATACACATGCTGTCCAAACCCTGCCTTAAGGGTTTTGTTTTAAAACAAAAGCCGCTTGAAATAATTAATCCAAGATCTGGCTGGGGTCTGCCCTCAAGAATGGATTTTTCTTTTTTCTTTTTGTAACTACCCAGCCTACCATACTCAGAGATAAGGCCCCCGGCCCCCACACACCTCCTCCAGAAACTCCAAGCCTTGGGACTTCGCAGTCAAAACACCAAAACCATTGGAACGTTAGTATCTAACATCAATACCTTTTAACTGAGTCGCTCAGAAAGACCCTCCTTTAAGATAGCTTGGGTGAGGAGTCAGAACCAACCTGTATCACCTGAAATACCAAAAAAAAAAAAAAAAAAAAAAAAAAGAAGAAGAAGGAAAAAAAAGCCTCAGGTGAGATGAATTTAGCATCATTCCAGGGCGGGTGGGTAGGGAATGGGGTGGAGGGGTGACTTAGGTAAGGGGGTGCGGCCACCACCACAGATCAGAAGCTAGTACCACAGTGTGGCCTTGGGGCCAGAGAGCACGACTCCTGCTGGCCTAACTCTGCACCCAAAGGTACCCGGGCGCTGAGACATCTGCAAGGCTTTATCAATCCAATAAAGGCACGCTCTTTAATCCGGCATCTTCCTCAAGCACAAAGCCCCCTAGCAGCCAGTGAGAAGCCAACAAAGGCACAGAGGAAGCCGCCTCCGCGCCCCGTCCCGCACGCTGCATTGTATACATATTTAAAATAGCCTGCAAAGTTCCAGGCCGGGAACTTGAGCTCCCTCTAGGAGATCCCAGCCCGAGCGCGGATTTAATTCTCCTCCGACAACCACAACAAAGACCAGAGTTTGAGCGCACAAAGGCAAGGGAAGGGGGTAGAAGAGCGAAGGCGCCACACAAAGGCCGCGAACCCCTCGGCTCCCACGCCCCCCGCACGTTCAGAGACGTTCCGGCCCTGGAATTAAACCTGATTTTTTTGTTTCAAATTCCGCGCTGTGCAGAGCCTCGTTGGGCGCCAGGACGCCTGCTCGCCCGTCCCATTTCATGACAAACTTAGCTGAAGAGGAAGAACGAGCCCTCCGTCTGATCTTAAGCCTTGCGCCCCTCCGCGTCTGCGGCCGGCCGGGCGTCCGCTCGCCCTCCCGCCCCGGGAACTCACCGTTACACCACTGGAATGGGTGCATCAATGAATTCTCGGCTGGCTTCCTCCGGCGAACGAACGCAGGCGGCCGACGGGTAGGGCAGACGGGGTGGGCGCACCGGCTTTCGGGTCCGCAGGAGGGGCCGGTGCTGTCCGCGGCAGCCGCCTTTCTTCACAAGTCGAAAGCCCTCGGGGGTGGGGGGGGGGGTTCGGCTTGAATGGTTTCGGAGCAACAAAGAGGGAAAAGGGGAAAACAAACAAACAGAAAGTCCCCAGGATCAACGCACCGCCGAGGAAATGCAGGAAGGGCCCCCGAGCTGGGGGAGATGCAGGGCGCTACAGAACCGGGTGGAGGGCCCGGTTCGCAGAGGAGGGAAAAGCTTCACCGGGAGCCTCGGCTCAGGATCCTTGGCGCGAAGGTGAGCCGCCAGGACTCCGAAACTGACACGGGCTGCGCACACCCCCCTCCCTTTTACACCCCCCACCCCGCAAACTCCGCCCCCCGCCCGTCACCCGCCCTCGGGCCAATGAGAGCCTTCCTGCTGGCCCCGGGTATTATTTGCAGGCCCGCCCCCCTCCAAGGGGAGAGCATCTTTGCACAGTGGGCGCCTCCCCTTTCGCCTTCCCGGTCCTCGGGAAACTTAACTCTAAAGACAAGCAAGCTGCGCGGTGCGAAGCTTGGCGCAGGCGGGGGCCAGCCTCCTCCGCCGGGACCTGGAGGAAACCGAAGGATTAGTACCACATTGTTTTCCGCCCCCAGAGCTGTTACTGTTTAGTATTTCTATAGCTCTTTGAGAAGCCAGTTCTAGGGAGGGGTTACATTTCTGCTCCGAGGTCCAGGACTCGGTCCTGGGTGGTGGCTAGCAGCACGTTCCTTCGCTCACTGCTAAAGGGGGAACTGAAGCAAGAGAGTAAAGCAGATGAATTGCAAAAATGAGATCTGGAAAGAGGTCAGGTTGTCCTCTCATGTTTGGTCAGCCCCTCATTTTACAAACAAGGAGCCAAAGAGTAAGCCTAAGGTAGATCTGTCAAGGCCTCCATGCTCCAGAGTAGCAGAATCAAATCCAGAAATCCACGTGGGCAATACCTTAAGGGCAGTATCTTCAGCATCTAGAACCACCTAGGTGTTGAATAGCACTTGGAAGAGAGACTGTTTTAATTCCCCGTCCAAAATAATTTCTTTTTATCTGACATTGCATCGCTTGTTTTTTTCCGTTTGTCATTCTGTCTTTCATTTATACAGAATGTGTTCACTGTGAACCTACTTCGTGCCCAGCGCTGTTTACAACGGAGACCCATCTAGGTCCCTGGCGACGGAAGGATTCTACTCTTCCTGAGATTCTTAGTGCCTGAGGAGACAGACAGTAAGCACGCAAGCAAACAAATAAGAATGACTCAATCTCATCTTCCAATTAAGCTTAATCTGTTAATTGAAGGTGATAAACACTTTCCCTAACGCTTGGGAATTTGTGACACTCAAATAAGATTATGCATATGAGTGCTTTGTCATTTAAAAGCATGATGGTTAAGGTATTAAATAACTTGGCTGAGATCACACAGCAGTATGCAACAGTTTAGCACTTAATTACGTAATTGTCTTATAACAATTGTTTTTCTTTAAGAGCTGGTCTGGGGGATTGGAATCATGTACCGATCCAACTCATTTCATCTCTTAATTGGGCAATTGCAAAAGCTTCCTAACTGACCTCTTTGACTCCAGTCTCTACCCCAGACTTTAGAGCCCACAGGAATCACTTATGTTACAGATGTTACAAATACAGACTCCCAGACCTGGAGCCCAGAGATTCTGATTCAGTAGTTACAGGGTGGGCTCCAGAATGCTTTGTCTCCACCTTCCCCCACCCCTCCTCAGCCAAATTCTCAAGCAATTATGCTGAAAGAAATAATGCTCTGATCTCACTCTCAAATCTGTCCTCTCTGCTGGGCCCAGAGTTATCTTCCTAAAATGTAAATCTGCTCCTTTACTTCTCTTGCTCGATAACCTTTATTGGTTCCCATTACTTGCTGGGTAAAGTCAAATTGTAGAGTATGGCATTCAGATGGTTTCAGTCCGGCCTTCGCCTGTCTTCCTAATGCCAAATACTCTCTTGCTCACATGCTATTCATCAGCCACAAAGCTATTGCTGTTGTCCCCTAAACATAGGACATTCTTTCTTGACTGTGATTTCGTACACGGCATCACTTATGTTTGAATGCCCTTTTTCTTTCTGTGCCTGGCATTTTGTAAGATTCAGCTGAAAATACATCTCTTCGGTGGCTCACCACTGTCAT